GTTTGATCCCTGTCTGAGTGGTTGGCTTTGGTAGCCAGGCACCATCTAGTTCTGGTCTTGGGTTGCAGAGGCTGAGGTTCTCGTGGAGAATATACTTTCTTTTAAAGGATAAAGATTTTACGTATTTTTTTTAATTTCTCTTTTTACATACTTTTTGTTGTTGTTAGGTGCCGCTGAATCGTCTCTGACACAGCAGAACAAAACAATGCCCCCCGGTCCTGTGCCAGCCTCACAATCCTTGTTATACCTGAGCCCATCGTTGTAGCCACTATGTCTATCTATCTTGTTGAAGGCCTTCCCTTTCTTCCTTGACCCTCCACTTTACCAAGCATGACATCCTTCTCCAGGGAAACGTCCCTTCTGACAACATGACTAAAGTAGGTGAGATGAAGTCTGGCCTTCTGGCTTCCAAGGAGCATTCCGGCTGCACTTCTTCCAGGACAGATTTGTTAATCCTTTTAGCAGACCATGGTACTCTTAGTATTCTTCTCCAACACAATTCAAAAGCATCAACTCTTCTTTTGTCTTCCTCTTTATCCAGCTCACACATGCATAAGAGGCAACTGAAAATACCATGGCTTGCATTAGGTGCACCTTAGTCTTCAAGCAGACATCTTTGCTCTTCATCACTTGAAAGAGGTCTTTTGCAGATTTGCCCAATGCAGTATGTCGTTTGATGTCTTGACTGCTGCTTCCACTGGTGTTGACTGTAGAACCAAGTAATATGAAATCCCTGACAACTTCATTCTTTTCTCCATCTACCATGAAGCTGTTCATTGGACCAGTTGTGAGGATTTTTGTTTTCTTTGTATTGAGGTGTAATCTATACTGCAGACTGTAGTCTTTACTCTTCATCAGTAAGTGCTTCAAATCAACCTCACTTTCAGCAAGCAAAGTTGTGTCATCTGCATATCACAGGTTGTTAATAAGTCTTCCTCCAATCCTGATGTCACATTCTTCTTCAGTAATAGGGTAATATCCATACACCTACAAGGAAGACCAGTTAATACTACTACTATTCAAATTTATGCACCAAATGCCAAAGCCAAAGATGAGGAAATTGAAGATTTCTACCAACTTCTGCAATCTGA